TTTTAATTGTTGTTAAAAAGTTAGAAAATTTTTATTATGGTTGAAAATCGCTTGCCATATGAAAAACGGAGATTTTTTTTTTAATGACACTTGATTAAAATCCTTGTGGATCACGAATTAATAATATTAATATTTAATAAAATGTCTTCCGGTAGTATTAAATAAATATTACAATGTTAGAATTTCTTTATAGTAAATTCAAAAGCAAAAATCCTTAAGTAGCAAGAGTTTAGACCAAAGTCAAACTATCATTTAATCCTAACATTGTAATAAATAAATAATAGTAATTAGTTGAATACAAATATTAAATTTTTTTAAATTTTTTTAATGTTTAGGATTAAAAGATTATCTTAATTTTGCAGTTTCACTTGCTCGAGAAAGTGGCAAAATTATTTTGGAAGCTTCGAAAGCACGTTACTCAACACAAAGTAAAGTTTACTCTAAAGCAGGAAATTCGGCAGATTTGGTAACAGAAACAGATAGACAAGTTGAAGACTTCATAAAGTCAAGGATTAATAAAACTTTTCCTGAACACAAGTCAATCAATCAATTGTTGTAAAAATGGTTTTTATTTATCTTTAATTATTAAAATTATCTTTAATTAAAAGATTCATTGCTGAAGAAATGACTTCAACAAACAATAAATACGAATTCACGAGCAAACCAACTTGGATCATTGATCCTATAGGTAGGCAGTATTTTATAACTTTAATATTGAATTAAAAATTGTATTATTTAATACTTTAATGTCATCTATTTAAAAGAGTATTAATTACATTGGTGAATTTTCTTTATTTTAATTTTTTAGATGGAACCACAAACTTTGTTCATGGGTAAATGCTCCAACACTATAAATATAAATGTGAATTAATAATTTAAAAAAATTTTTTTTTATTAGATTCCCATTTGTTGCAGTATCAATTGGTTTAACAATCAACAAAGAACCTGTTGTTGGCGTTGTGTTTAACCCATTTCTTAATGAAGTGAATAAAAATTTTTTTGCTTATAATTTTAATTTTAGATGCACAAATATTAATTTATGTCTATGCTTATTTTTTAGCTTTACACTGCAAGTAAAGGTTAAGGAGCTTATCTTAATCTCAACACAAAATTACCTTTAACTTATTCATATCTACCATTACCATTACCCTCAAGTTTGTCTCAATGTTTAGTGGCTACCGAATATGGGAATGATTGATTACCAATAACTATTAGTAAAAAAATTCAATCTGTATATAATTTATTGTCAAAACCAGGTGATGCTGCTACTTTGAATTCTAAAAAAGGTGGATTGGTTCGAAGTATTAGAAGTCTTGAGTGTGCATCACTTAATATTTGCACAGTTGCTAAAGGACATTTTGATGTTTATTGGGAAATTGGATGTTGGGAATGGTAATATTTACATTTATATGACATAATAAATTAAATAGACTGTTATAATATTATTATTTAAATTTTAATTATTATTTAAAGGGATGTGCAGCTAGTATTGTGATTCTTCAAGAAGCTGGTGGTATTATGGTGAATGGACAAGGTCCAGATGAAGGTCCAGATAATATACTTGGGCATAAATTTTTAGCAATTAGAGGTGGTTTACCTTGTTCGAGTGATGAAAATTCAAGACAAAGTCAAATACATCTTGTTAGAGAAATGTGGGGTTTAGTTGAAGAAATTGATTGTCCAAGATATTGACCAAAAAGTAAATAATTTTTTAATGTTCATTATTTTTAAAGATGTATATATTAAAGTTATTGTTATAACAAGCAATCAATAATATAAAATCATTTATTTGAATTATATAATGTCGCCATATTCATTCCTTTTGATATTTTTATTTCTGGTTTTATTAAATTCTTCAGTTGTTCTTGGAAAATAATGTTGATTTTTTTTCACATTATCATTACTATCATAATCATAATTGTTATTGTTATTATCATCTTTGTATGTATATGATTTTTGAAAACTTGAAAATAAGTTATCATTATTAAGATTTTCTGTTGTATTATTATTTATATTCTGTTTATGTTTTGCTTTCTGTTGTTCTAATTTAACCTTTTCACGAATTCTATCCCATGAAGATAGTGGTTTTGAATTCGTGGACTCAGTTTTATTCCAATCATTATTTTCTTGATGATTATGATCTTTTGATGATGATGATGATGACGAATGATCTAAATAGGCGAAATAAATTAGGACATTAAAAAAATAAATGCATGTTGCTAGTTTAAACATACCAATTTCAGCATAACTTCCTGATAAAGTGGTATTTAAAATGTCAGGTTGATTATATTTATCATCGTTACCATCATTAGTAGCTTGATCTGTCTTTTCCTTTTCTAATTTGATCTTGCTATGTCGTGGTAATTTCATCTTTAACATTTCTTGGCTACAAATTTTTAAGAATTAAAATTACTTTTGGTGAAAAAAAAAAATGAAGAAATTATAGATAAACTGAACTGTAAATCTCTTATTATCGTATAAACATTCTGTTTATTTGGTAATGTTTGTATAGTTCTATAACCTACAACCGTTCCATTGACACTTCCAATAGTAGACCCAATCAGCGTAGTTACTGTTTAATTATCATTTTATTAAAGACATAGACCTAATAGGCAACCTTTAAAATGTTAAGGCTCAATAACTATATTTGGAAGTGGAAAAACTCTCTATTTTTGCAATCTAATGGACTTAAGGAACAATGTAATAGAGAGCTTTTTTCAATATTATTAATAATAAAAAAAGCCTTAGTGGTTTGAAGTTTCACGATTTTACTATATATTAAAAATGAAATTTGGCCACCAGTGATCTTTCCTTTTAAGGAAAGATGGGGGTGTAGATTCACGTGACCAAACCAATCGAAAAAAATTATATAACGACAATGATAACAGCAACTTTGATGATGGAACTTTTTTTACAACCTCTATCAGAACATCTAATGCCTTATCTAAAATTTTT